TCGAGGTTAAGGCGGCCGTCGCCCACATTGTACGGCGTTTCCGGTTCTATAGGACCGCTCACACGGAGGTTCCCGTTCGGCATAAAAGGTCCTTCCGGTTGACATTTCCCGACAAAGTGTTTGTGGGTATAGAGAAAAGGTCATAATTTTATTGTGCCAGCTAATTGAAACTAAATTTAATCTAATTTTAGATTTGATGCATAATTTAGGGCTAAAATGGTACAAATTAAGACACTCTTTATAAAAATTATTATTTTAATGAATAAAACAAACTTTAAAATTAATTGATTTATATTTCATACAAATACAGGATATACTGTAATTCTACAAGTATACTAAAGCCATTAAATTACTTAGTTTATAAGAAATCAAATTTTCTTTTGATATTAATTTATACCTGTTTAGTGACTAAAATATGGTTATGTTTACGAGTTAATTGATGAATATAGTTAATTAGTTGTCAAAATTCATAAATAATGCAAACTATTTGTCATACTATTCAATTATAAATGGATTTTACCTCAAACTTTAGAAAAATAAATAACAATTTAACCAAATATTTGACCAATTTTTGGTAACTTTGATAGTGACTATAAAGGCCTTTTTACCACCTTGATTTGAATGCTTTAGTTATAATGTATTTGCGTTGACCACAAAAGTTAATTAAAATGATAACATATTTTTGATATATGCTTTAAAATAGAAAAATACCAATTCTTATTGATAAATTGATTTATAAAGATAAATTGTAATGTTTTTAGTATATTTTTTTGAAATTTATAAAATGAATTGTAATAGGATATTTAGTGCAAATTGTTTGGAAATTTATAAAATTATTTGTAATGGATATTTAGTATAAAAAGCAACAACTTTAAAACATATTTATTTTAACTAAATTAACTTCAATTATGTGGTGGTTTCTAATTAGCATTATATTAATTATTTCGTATCTCGTTTGGTATTTCTAAAAAATATTATATATTGACAATATAATATAATATTGTATTTTATAATTGTTTTGTAATAGGATATGGAACCGGGACTTTAGGTACTGGGCCAGTCGAGGCATACCTGGTCCCACACCTTTACCTATATTTGGTAATGTGTTGAGCTTTTTCACAGCACCCCATGTACACCAGATGAACTGGTACACTAAATATGGCAAAATTTATAGGTAATTAGTAACAATTTAACTATTAATATAATTTAAAAATGATTTTATATATATTTGTATATTAGCTTACTAAACAGGTATTCAGGAACTGTATTAATACCATATAACACAATGTATAATAAATTATAATGAATTTTTCAACAAGCAAGATTATTTTACATTTATTTATTAAAACTTAAAAATTCAATAATCAAGTAAACACTATTAAGTAAAATATAAATAAATCTAGGCATTAAATTAGAAATCTTGCATATAAATACAGTATGCAATCTAAAAATAACAATAAGCACAAATCAATTTTAATGATTAAGTTTGACATTGTTAAAGTAACAAGTTAAAATATAACTACCTTAGTTTTAGATAATCCAACAAATCTAACAAAATCTTAATAATAAAATTAGCTAAGTTCATTCATTAAATAAAATAAATATTTACAGCTACTACCTGGGCCATCGCCCGGTGCTCACGGTAGCCGAGCCCGAGCTCATCAAATCCATACTAATCCGCGACTTTAACTCGTTTACTGACCGTATCGTCGGTCGCCCCATAGACCCCAAATTAGCCTCCAAATTAACTGAGGCTCGTGGGGACGACTGGCGTCGACTGAGGCACATAATCAGCCGGCCTTTACGTCGGGCCGTATGAAACGCATGTACCCGTCCATCAGGCAATGCCTACGCGACTTCCAGACCCATTTGGACGTCTGCGCAAAGGATGGTAGGTCAGTAAATGTCATGGAGATGTTTGGAAATTTCACCATGGACGTTGTGGCTACCTGCGCGTTTGCTATTAAAACAAATGTCAACAATGATAGAAATAATCCAGTAGTCAGGTAGGGTGATCAAATATTATGTATATGTTTTTAAAAAGAAATAGCATAGCGAATATAGTGACATAGGTGATCACTTATTACCGGTAATGATAAAACATAATAGCTACAGAATTCTAAACCATAAATGAATATTTTAAAAAAATATATAATTTTATACATACGAATCAAATGAATTTAATTACGGTCTTCTCAATATTTCAACACTAATGTTTTAATCAAGTCCATTATGTTATCAATAGCTAATTGTTTAATATATATATTCTTTGGGTATAGAGAAAACTGGTTTTTAAATTCATCGATTCATATGATTCAATCAATTTATTAATAAGTTTTCTAGATATGCATTTAAATGGTTGTGAACTTTAGGTAATGCTTTAATCAAATGAGTTTATAATAGCTGACATAAAGTTCATAACCACTTATATGCATATCTACAAAACTCATTATTAAATTGATTGATTCATATGTTTAATGTAATTCTATAGCGTCCTCTCCTATACTCATACACTAGACTATTCATAATCAAAGTCGAGTTTATGAGTATAGGAGGGGACACTATGGACTTATATTAGACACATGTGGTCACCCTATTAGATACGCCAGAATTCTACTGGACGTCAAGCTGTGGAAAAGCATCGCAATGCTAGTCCTACCGCCCCATTGGTTGGCGCGCCTGACAGTCATCAATAATGGCCAACTGGAAGGACTCGTATACTTCAATAAACTAATGACGGATATCATCGAAAAGCGCCGTAAGCTTACGGACGCAACCAACAAGTATACGGACTTTTGCAGATCCTATTGAACGCCAATAAGAATACCGACGCCGCGCCTGAAGATTGTAAGTCTAGTGAAACTAATTATGTTATCGAAGGTAAATTTTTTTAGATAAGCTTGACAAGTTATGTATAGAAAATAAATTAATTAATTCAAAAATAATTGCAATGTACATAGTGTATTTTTTTGAATTTGTTCAATTATTATACCCTTGATAAAATACATGAGTTTTGAAATTATGCTTAATCTGTTATAATTTCCGTAAAATTGAAACTTAAATTATTTACACTTTTAGATGAAGAACCGGATAAACCTTTGGAGGGAACTGGAGGTAAGACACCAACCGTTTCATTCAGAAAGCACTTGAGCGACGACGAGGTGCGCGCCCAGACATTCGCCATATTTATTACAGGCTATGAGACCAATGCAACCACCCTGGCCATTTACGAGCTGACCCTCAACCCCCACCACCAACAACGCCTATTTGATGAGCTCCGGGAGGTATTACAACCTGACGGCGACATAGACTACGACGTCTTACTGTCCCTACCATTTATGGAGGCCGTGGTATCCGAGACCCTACGCCTACACCTGCCGAGTGTGAGACTCACACGACTGGCCAACAAGGATTACACATTAGGAACAACTGGTATAACTGTCCGTAAAGGGGATCAGGTGGACATACCTGCCTACGCCATACACCATAGCCCGGAGTATTATGAACAACCGTTCCAGTTTGATCCGGATAGGTTTTTCGATCCTGAGCGTCGGCAGCTTATTAAGCCCTATACGTACATACCGTTTGGGATTGGCCCTCGAAATTGCATTGCTATGCGGTTCGCGCTCCTGGAGATTAAGTTAGCGTTGGCTCACATCATACGCCGGTACCGGTTGTACCGCACGGAGGATACCGATGTTCCGCTGCAATATAAACGCAAATACAACGGAACGAAACCGAAACGGGTTGTCGTGGGTATTGAGCGCCGACCGGATTAGGGGTTAAGACATTATTGGGTGACATTATAGTTAAGAATCGTATTTTTGTTTTACTATGATATAAGTTATGATAAGTATTTTGCATATTAATAAAATACAATAAAAACAAAACTTATAGTTATTAGTTTTATAGTGTTGTATTGATGTAGTTTATTTAAGTTTTACGTACGGATTAAATATTAATTATTGTAAATTTTATCTAGCATAAACATTTTTATGGCACAACCGATTGGCTTTTATTGTTATAATTTGTTTTTAATGAATAGCTAAGAGTTTCATCAATGCGTTTATATAGACGAGGTCAATTTTGTTTTAATAATAAAATTACAGTAGTATAATATAAACAAAATATATAATAATTTTTCTTCACTTAATAAATATTTTATTAGTAATAACATTTCATTAAAAATTATTACATTTTAAATCATTTCAATCCCCACTTCATCTCCCGTTCCCATCCACTCATCCCTAACCCTCTTATTAAGTCTTAGCCAAAATCGGTAAAAAGTATTTTATACGTCTATTTAATGCAGTTCTTATCCAATTAATTAAAATTTATAAAAGATTTAAAGTCATTAAAATTACGGGACAAACTCAAAGGTCATATGCACAAGTCTGACCAAAGGTCATAGGTCAAAATAGTTAAATACATCTTGAAG